TAATTGAACTTCGCTCTAATTATCCTGGGGAGATAATATTAACTTGTGGCGGGGGGAGAGGAGTCGGTCCAGAAGTCCTCCCTCTGTGGGCTGCTCCTAGCTCGTGTTATTGAAATATGATGGCTCCATTTTTATCCTGTCATAATGACAACTGATGTGCTTATTTTCTTTCTGCGCCTCTAGGGGATGATGAAATAGTAAGCAAACATTCCTTCTGGTGAAAGAGCAGCGCTTTATCACGCTGGCTGTAGCTCTGAGAAAGCGCTCCCTACTCCACTGCAATTCAGGGGGCTGTGCTGGTCCTCGCTTGGCCAGGCGGCCTTGTCTTCTCCAGGGCTTCAGACCTTCTTGGCTCCAAAGCACAATTCCGTTGCATGGGTCTTGAGATTCTTTTGCACCGAACCTTTTAACTGCTGCTGTTGATGTGGAAGGAGTAGAGATCGATGAAAAACTGAACTCACTGGGCTACTCTTTATAGCCCACTCTCCAGAACCAGCACCCCACTTCCTGTGAGGGGGCCCTGGCTGCCTGCCAGCTCTCTGTCCATCCATGCTCTGCTTGGCTTCCCACTCTGTGAGGCTTCACAGATGTGTCCTTTATCCTCAGACGCATTCTTAACACTCTGAACAAATGCAGGAAGCAAAGCCCTGGGCCAATAACTTGAGGGGAAAGTCCGGTGACCCTCAAAATGCACGCTGGCTTCCAGGTTGATCTGGGTTGGGGAGTGGATGTCAGGGTGTTAGAAGAAAGGGTGCAGCACAGAATGCAGGAGGAAGAGCAAAAAGAGCAGAGGGAGGCTGCGGGGTCCCTTCTGGATCGCTACGGAGCCTGTGTTGACCCCAGAAGCCATGTGTGAAGTCCACAGGCATTTAGCAAGCACAGGTGTCGGTGGGTGCCTCTGAGGAGCAGCTGTGGGGGAGAAGGGTGTGAGGGGAGTGCACAGCCACCGCTCCCGGAGCCTCTCTGACTGGCCAGTTCATGAGGATTTTACTTCTTGAGGAGATGGCAGTAAATAGAGGCACTCGGAAACTCTCCACCCTTCCCAGGGTGGTTACACTGCTTCGAAAGCTAGTTGATTTAATTGCAAACAGAAATCTGGGGTAAGTGCATCTACTGTAGCCTTCCTTCGATGCTGACCCTAACCTTTTGATGCCCAAAGGTGGCCTCTGAGGGCAGCAGGGTCTGCGGGGCTGGGACATCCGGGGCTGGAGTGGCTTTTCACTGAAGTCGGTTTGGCACGGAGGTGGCTCTGCTCGAATTTCTCTATGGTCACACAGCTCTCTCCTCTCTGTCACACTGATTCCAGAAGCAGACTGTGAGTCACCACTCAGGCAGCGTCACCAGTGGGAGGAACAAAGGATTTCCCTGTCTATACTTCTTTTTGGGTTTTCTAGTCAATCTTAGCACAGGAACGGTGGCACTGAACAAAAACCCTGGGCAGGGGAGTGTCCCTGGCCAGAGACCTGGGGTGCAGAGCATCATAGGAATTGAAGGAGAAGAACAAGTACAGAAAACTGGCTCAAATCTGTAAGCTGCACACAGCTACCAAAGACACTGTCCTTGCTGTGAGGACGCAAGTAGACAGTGTGACAGGACCCTTGTGAGGCCTCCTCGTCCCCTCAGGCTGCCCTATTTCCCGAACACATGAATATCCACACCTCACGGCCGCTAGAGTGAATCAGCTGGCGCACACACACTGCCAGTCCCAGTCGAACAGCCCAGAACCACCCCACAGTCTGAAGACTCAAATGTCTTTCATGGTTTTCTAAGCGTAATTGAAGGCCCCGAGTCTCTGTAGCGATGTCCCTATCAGTCGGGAAGACAAAGCAGCCCTCCAAAAAGACACCAGGTCATATTTCTATGACAGCTCGTGACAGCCCCACACAGCCCAACAGTCTGCAAAGTAGTATATATTTTAAGGGCTCCTGGTAATTTATGTTTTAAAAGATCCTCCCTACATAGCTGCAGTATATAATGGAAGGTCCTGATGTCTGTAACGTTCATAACAGCTGAGATTCCCCGGCAGTGCTACACAACCTGCCATAAGTTATAGCCTGAAATTTGTCCCGATGGTCACGTATTCATGACAGGTTTATCTCCAAGAGAAATCCAGAGGGCTTGTGGAGCACTAAGCCCACTACACTTGAGGTAGGGAAGGCCTAGTGCCCCTCTCCCCCACTCGGGGCAGGTGGCTGAATAGGAAGCTGCCCATTTATTCTACCAAGCTGAGGCTTCCTTCTTTAAAGCACCTGCGGGTAATGACTACAGGCACCTCTGTGGACATGCCAGGCAGCATTCTGCAAATTTCACCCCAGACAGCAACTGGTAACTGCTAATGCCACCGGCCAACATCACGTGTTTCCCTCTTTGTAGCCCGGGTCTCGGCTTTGCGGAGTAGGGGGAGTCCCCAGATCTTTGCAGCTAACCCTGAACACAGGACTAAGCTCTGGCAAGAAGAGAGGGAGGGTATAGGGTGGTAGATGGTGGGGACTGTGCTCTGAGGAGGTGGCATATGTCCTTTCACCTCCTTGCCTGATGCCTCTTGAAATGTGCCCAGAAGACAGGGAGATGCCTGTCACACAAGGTGGCCAACACCAGGTCAGGGAGGAATAGGAGCCTGAACCCGAGGAGCCAGCCATGGTCCATAACTTCAGGACTGTGACCTGAGATGGGCCTGGGGCTCCGAACAGGGCCAGAGAGCAGAGGTGGGTGCCCGACTCTGAAGGCTGTTGCCAATTCCTGCTGGGTGAACGCGCCCGTAGACAGTGTAAAGGGAGCGACACTGCTCTGCTCCAGTGAAGTTTTCTTCACAGAAACAGGATGGGGTCTGGAACTGCCCCATAGGCCACAGTTTGCTCTTTCTGTAAGTAAGACAGTTTTTTGCAAGGTGGCTTTGTTCAAGCCTTGCTCTCTGGGTCACGACTGCTCACCATCCAGCCTGACCCCGGGACTGTCAGAACTGGGGACTGAACTAAGCCGAGCTCTACAGTTACACGGCCGCATCCCAGCGCTACTTTTCATTTCTGTTCTGCTGAGTCCCCCCGGCTGGCCATAGCCTGCTTCCTGAGTAGCCCAGCCCACGGTTCTGAGCCACGCAGCCTTTTCCTTTCTCTCCCCGTCCTTGCCTGGCCTCAAGTGCTCCCCAACGTCCTCTCCTGCTCTAACACGTCCTTGTTCCGCCTCCCTCTCCTCTCCATTCCTTTCCGTTGCCTTTAGCATCTTCCTTCCCTGTCGAACTCCGATCCGTGTTGGACCTGGGCATTCCAGGACTGCAGCACGGGAACCTGTCAAGTACAGCAAGCCTTGTTTCCCACTGACTACCGCATTTCTAAAAGGGTTTGTCTAAAAGTTCAGAAAAACAAAAACGAAATACTTTTCACTGAAAATGAGCATCGAGATCTGGGCTGGGCTCGGCGGGGAGAGACCATGACAGGACAGGCCTCCGCCTGCTGGGCGGGAGTGGCCTGCCCCCACAGCGTGTGACGTAAGCACCCCCCGGAAACAGTCACTGCGGGCCTGACTGATCGCCCTGCTCTGCTCTGATTCACTGACAACTTCTATTTGTGCAGGAAGTAGGGGGTGCACCAACTGGAATGTTATTTGCTGCTAACTGTATAGTTTTCGTAATCTAAGGAGATTCTATTGCCAAAGTTTGGTGAAAGTTCTTTTTTTTGTAAAAATTCAAGAGAAGATACTTTTTTTTTTTTCGATGTCACAGGAGTGGAGGACCTCACTGCAGGATTCAGGAGGATAAGGTCGGGATCTCCTCCTCTGGCTCCTGTCCTGCGTGGGACACATGGCCTGTTACTGACAGATCTGTGTTAGGTGAGCAAAAGAACTGATGAAATAATTCAACCAGCTCATTGGACTTATCCTTACTTTCTTCTCTAGCCTGTTAAGAGAAAAAATTTTTATGTAATTATTTCAAAGCCACAATGAAATTGGGATGATAAGTGGAGAAAATATAGTAGGAGATTTGCATTTAACAATAACAGATAATTATTCATTAACATAATCATATTATGTAATGTGTCATTTGTTAATTATTCTAAAGTTCTCAAAACTAAGCATCTCAGATCCTATAACTATTTCAACATCAATTAGAAAGATAAAATTTGCGAAAACAAAATGAAGAACGGGTGAGCCTCCTTCCCTGCAAATGTCTGGAGCGCTTCAGAACAATGTGCAGTGCAAAGCACTCCTGGAATGTGAGAGTGAGCGTGTTAAAGGGAGGCACGGGCATGGTCTTTGGTCCCATTAGCGTCCTGCTGAGTGGGGCCCATGAGTTGCGAGAGAGACTTAGAAGCCAGCAGCGCCTGCACCGATAGTTACACTGTGGTGCAGGCTGATCTGAGGGAAGGAGTTAAGCCCCGTCACATCTCGAGTGTAGACAGCAGACAGATGGCGAAGGTTCCTCCGAGGAGTTAGCATTTGACTTAAGCCTCTTGAGGATGTGCGTGGTTGAGGCACAGGGAGGACAGGATAGGGACTGAACAAGGCCAGGGTCAGGCCACTGTCCTGCCAGGTCGCTGCTCCAGGAGCCAGTCGGTGGGTGGGGATGTGGAGGCAGCCCTGGGAGCGCACAGGGGCATCAGCCGGCTGAGTGGGCAGTCGGCACCTCGGGAGTCTGGCCTGGCCCTCATTCCCTCTCGGCTCTGGAGAAGGCTGCCCCTGGAGGTGTCCTATGGTTGCACTTGTCCTGCTCTGCGACCAGCCCTCGAGCAGAGTGACCGTGGCCAGGGCAGGCTGCATGCACAAGGTCCCCACACAGGGGCAGCAAGTGGTACCATGGCACCCACCACGTGCTTACCACACATGGGAAGGCAAACTGGCAAACAGATTCAGGGGAACGACTGCAAAGAAGTGCAGGGCAGTTTTTTATTGTTTTCAATGGAAGACATGTAATTTCGGAGCTATTTACTACTTAGTCTTTATTGATTACATGGAATTCAGACTCCACATGACAAGGTTAAATGCCAGAGATGCACCTGTGTGAGAAGATTTAACAAGACCCTTAGGAAGCTTATGGCATCCAAGTCGAACTCTTTGCAGAGAATATACAAGATGGAAATACCGGAAATTCGGGGGAAATGACCCCTAGTCAGAAAGCAGGGGAAACAGTGGCACAGGGAGAAGACCAAATGCTGAAATCGACCGACACAGCTGTGAAGAGAGTGAGTGTCCTTCCGCAGTGGCCGGCCAGGCCCGGGAGACGACAGACAGCGGGCTGAGCAGAGGCCTCTCGACAGAGAAGGGCGAGAGGCTCCTGCAACAGACACCGTGCTGTGTGGGACCTGAGATCAGCACAGACGAGCAGTGTGAGTTGTGTGCTTCGTCAGGGGACACTGGGGCCCGCGGTGTGTCACATGCTGGGCATGCGCAAGGCACAGGCTCACATTCCATGTGTGTAAGCACGTGCAAAGGAAGACACCAGGCAACCATTCCAGGTGCTGTAAGCAAAATAAAGTGTACAGGAATCAAAGGTTATAAAGGTTGCTATTTCACATAGTGAGTTCTTAGAAGCACACACTGACCAATGACGAACAAGGAATGACAAGAATGGAATCCATGCATGGAAACACCTCACCCTTCCTTCCTGCCTCTCTCCCTCCCTCCTTTTCCTTCACTTTTTGAGAGAGTCTCACTTCTTGCCCATGGTGACCTTGACCCTACTAGACTGAAGGGATCCTCCTGCCTCAGCCTGCGTGGGACTGCACACCTGGCTTAGGGTACCACTTTTAATTCATTCTCCTCTGCCTTCCCCACGCATGCCCTGCACTAGCTGAATGTTCACTTTGGGAAAGGCAGTGTGGCTCTGTGGCAGGAAGTGGCTAGTGCCTTCCCAAGGACAGCAGGCGACACCTGGGGAGCGGGAGGGCGGCTCTTTCCTCGCTGTCTCGCGTGCCCTCCCAGGGAAGCACAGAGGCTGACCTCCCTGGCTTTGGCCTTCACAGGAAACAAGCAGGGCACGCTCTTGGGATCGGCCACAGTGAGCCCCTGCACTGCCATGTGCGTGCTGTCACGAGGCAGCACATGCAGACACCTGCGTGTGGGCCTCTCACAGGGCTCCATCTTGGCCTGCTGCCCTGCCATCCGGCCGCTGTGCCCTGCCTACCCTTACTCCATGTCCACTCCCTGCTAGAGTCCGTATCCCTGTGTGAGGAGCTCTCCAAAGGGTGCTAAGCTCAGCACCAAGCTGGCCATTTTCCAGTGTCCTGGAAGGCAAAGACTGCGAATAGGGGCTCCAGTGAACAGTGCAGACAGGCAGATCTCCAAGAGATCCATTCCGTAGAGAGAATGCGGGGTTTGGGGACTCAGGAGGGTGTCTCCGTGACAGTGGGTAGACAGGGACATCTGACTGTATTCCTAGGGAGCTTGTCCTCAGAACTAGGCCTGAGTGACCCCATGCCATGTTCTAAAGCCCTGCTGGGCCTGGGGAAACATCCTGATGCCCCTCTGCAGCTGGACTTTCTGGCCCAAGGCAGAATGTTTGGGTAGTCATCGGTGGACCAGAGAGGACAAGGTGAGGCCCACGGAGCTCGCAGCCTGCTGGGCTCTGGGAAGGAGCTTTCCCTGGTCAGCATGGGTCCTCTCTCTCCAGCTCACAGTGTGCAGTTTCAGCCTCAGAGTGGAGACTTGGAGCCCGTGTCTCTGGCTATTGCTACCATTCACCTCCACAGCTGTTTCCTCAAAGTGCAGAGTAAGTCTTCCTCGCAGAGGCCTGGTGCAGTGACCTTGCTGTGCCTAACCCTGTCACTCAAAGCTCCCTGCCAGAGTGGCTCTTCACCTGCAGTCCCCAGGAGGCCAGGTGCTCCCCAGACCTCTTCTCCCTGGCCTGGGCGGTGCAGTGCGTCGGGGTCAGTCCTTTGTACTTTGTTCTGATCTCACTCTGATTAAAGAACCCATGGCCTTTGTGGGAGTCTAGAGGACAGTGATGCAGATCCCACCCATGGGCCAGTGGACATTTTTGTCCTTCTGTAGGAATAATGTTAAATTTTAAATATGTTGTTTTCATTTACAAATTTCTCCTGATTTCTACTTGGTGTAGCATTTTTGTTAACTACTGAAGGTTATTTTTTCCTCTACCAAATATCCATTTACATGTAAACTCTAATCTTTAGGAATGATGTCATCCTATCCTAATACATTTCCTGGCCACCAAGAGTGTAAGGTTAAACACTGCGAAATGCAAACACATTAGCACAGGTTTTTGTGGTAACTAGCTACTGTGAGAGACAAGAGTAATCTCACACATAAACGATGTGGCAATTAGAGCGACCCAGATCAGAGAAAAATAGCAGAAGTGCTAAAAGACCGCATGGCTGGTGCAGGTCTCCCAAGGCTGTGGCTGAAGCAGGGAAGGAGCAATAAATATCACATCTTGGCCACCTGATTATTTTAGGCTACTTGTGGTATGAAATACGCTAATAACAATTTAAAGTAAAACGCCACCCTATGAATGTTAAATTTTAAACGCGCTGCCGACACAGCCCTGGTGTCAATAATTACGGGCCACACGGCTCCCCACAGGAATCTCGCGCGAATGCCTTTCCTACATCTCTGGTGTTTGTGATGTTTCAAGTCATTACACATGCATAACAGGAGCAGGCCAGGTTGAGTAAATTGGGTATCATTTCCCTCCTCTCTGCACAGGAGCTGAACCGGTTTTATCTCTTTGGGGAAAGGAGCTCCATTTACATCTGCCAGCTGGAATGTATAAAAGCCTAATGTCAAGAAATCCATTTGCTCCTTAATAAAAGTTATCGTAACGTCGGGACGCTTGATTTATGGAGAGGCGGCAGTCACCTCGATGGCCTGCTGCCTTCTCTTGCCTCTGGAAGCCCAAGGCAGGTCATGACATTTACACTAGGTTAGAGTAATAATGTCACCGGCTTGCGTTCCCTGACAACAGCCCATTTGTCTCATTTAAATAACGAGCACGATTGGTGGAAATTGCAGGCTGTAACCCTAACACACACACAGGAAATGACAAACAGAGGCGCGGTGAATAATAAGGCAAACCCTGACAGGTAGCACGGCCTGCTGCTACAAATGGCTGGTGTTTTGGTTCCTTGCTTAACCTTCACCCACAGATCTGATAACAGTCCAGATGGTTACGAGACAGGAGGACGGAAATGTTTCACTCGGAGTGCTCTGATAAGGACCCTGCTTCTTGGGTGGTGGCGGGCGGCACCCTCTGGATGGGCTGCAATCTACGTGGCATGCAGAGGAACAATAGCTAGAGATATCTTTGCTCTGTCCCCACACTCCCAGTAAAGAGCTCCTGAGGCCCACACAAGCGCGCGCGCGAGTGTGTGTGTGTGTGTGTGGGGGGAGAATTCCCGCAGGAAGGGTGGAAGCAGTGACAGCCCCTCCAGGGCGCCGAGGAGCTCGGTGAAGTCCTTTGCCCACTGCTTTGCGCGCAGGACGACCATGCCCGTGTGTTCTCGCAGCAGAGCCAAGACGCTGGAAACTGACAGAGCTGCTTCCTAATGGCTATTCACTGGGTTGGGGGCATTATTAGGTGTTTCGGGACAGGCTGCTCTCGTGTCTGATCCTTGTGTTACCACGGTACGCACTCAGATCTTCCCCAAGAGCCTCCTCATCCCACAGGCAGTGCCTCTGCGAGGTGCTGGGGCTACTGCGGCGCATTCGGACTGACTCACAGGCAGCAGGCGGGGATGGGCTGGAAGGGGCGGTCACCGGGGCGTGGCCTGTCTCCCTCTGCTTCTGAGCAGCACCTCAGGGCTGTCCAGGCCCCTCCACCATGCCCTTCCTGCCTTAGAGCCAGCCAAGGACAGACTGAAAATGGGAGCCAAACAAGCCTCTCCTTCCTTTAAGGCGTTTGCCTCTCAGGAACTAAGGGACTGAGAGGCCGGAGTGCTCGGCCTCTGACCCCAGGCCTCAGCAGACGCGGCGGTGTAGTCCCTCACTGCTCTTCCCAGTCCTGTCCTTTGTGAGAGTTCCAGCAAAGGCCACCAAGCACTGTGTGAGGGGCTCTGGACACACTCTGTGGGCGGCCTTGGCTTCCTGTGCTTTTTCCAGGATTTACTTGCTGCCTCGGAAGTACACCGAAAACAGGAACCGGCTGCAGAAAACCCTTCCGGGTTCCTCACACAGACTGAGCTTGGCTTGGATTTGGCGATCTTCATTCTCGTCAGCACGGATGCAAGGCGTCCGCTCTTCCTCTGACACCCTGAATTCGCCAGGACAGACGCCCTCGGTCATCATCTGCCAGCAGAGCCAGTCACACCCAGGCAGCTCATGCAGCACCTCAGGCCGCCTCCTGTTTTCCAAGCTCTAGTGGTGCCCGCTTTGAGTTGCTATTTCGAGTTGCTTTGAACATTACCCAAAGTGGCAGAACTGGGCCCGATGGGGGCTTGGCCTTCTTCCCAGACGCCCATTTGCGGCTGTTTCGAACTGTCCATTCGCCGCGCGTGACTCTGGCCACACCCTTTGTTCTCCTGTCTCCTGCTCGCTCTCCTCACTCTCCTTCCGGTCTTCAGTCTTGACTGGGTCTTGCCTCCAGCTTGAAGATCCTTCCTGCCAGTGTTTTTCTCCTCCAACTGAAGAGTTCATCAGATACGCCACCCATCCCCAGGCCTTGAGATGCCTGAAAAGAGTCTTGCCATCTGTCAGTCTCCTAGAAGAATACATGCTGTCCCTGTGGTGCCCTCCGGCTGATGCGATCGGCTTCTGCCCAGCTACCCCTGTTTTGGTACCACCTACAGTGGAGAGTTCCTCTGCCCCAGCTTGTCCTCTCTGTTAGCAACCCAGGGTGCTCAGTCCACAGCCTGAAGGCCATTCTGGTCTCATACATAGCATTACCATCAGAAAGGAGCACCGACCCCACGGCCCAGTGCATTTCCTAGCATCAGCGTCATCAGCAAGTGGTTGCAAAATATCACGTTTTTAAGCCCCTCAGGAATTGAACACCCACTTTCTCTCACCCCCTCCACCAGATGCAGGATCAGGGCCCAAAGTTCAGCTCCCTCCCGAAGTCTTTCCCTGGGGGTCTTGGCCCCATGGCAGTGCTCATGTGGCTGTCACCTGGAACCCTGTGCTCAGGGAAGATGAAGAGAGGTGGTGAGGAGGGACAGGCAGTCTGAAGGAGGAAGGACCGTGCAGTGCTGGAACAGATACTTTCAGCCTCTCCAGGGCTCAGGGTATGGTGTCTACATGGCCCGTCACCATTCAGGACGTTCTGTTGACCTTGTATTCACCTGAAATGCGGTTGTTTCCTCCGACCTATAACCTGTCGGTCTCCACAGACAGAGCCTGAGCTCCTTGTCCCTGCTGCAGCCCATCAGTATCACGCAGGAGAGTCAGCACTGACTAGGACACCTGGGTCATGCTTTGGGCTGGGGCTCTTTGTGTCCTCAGTGCCTCAGCCTGCTGGGGGCAGAAGCCTTTTTAATTCCTGGCAGTGTCACTTGCCGGCAGAAGCAAG